CCGCTTCGACTTCTCGTCGGGCGCTGTCGCGCTGGAAGGAGGAGATGGAGCTGGCGGAGACGGCGAATCGTTCTCTCTTGGCTTTGCGTCAGCTCTACCGCGGGAGTCTGGACGACAGTCTACTGGGCCTGGCCGACTGCTGGGGCCAGGGGGTCGCGCCCGACAACTTGGACGGGGACCTTTCTCGGCGAGTGCTGGGGGAAGTTCGTCGCCAGTCGCCGCCGTCGACTACACCCTCACAAGGGGCCGCGCTCTTGCGGCTGCGTCCTTCTGCCTCGGCGGCGGGCCATCAGTCCCAGTCCACCTTCAAACAGAGGGTGGCCGAACTTCGGGGGAGGAGTGCTGGCGGAAGTGGACGGCTGCCGGACAGGGGCGAGACGTTTCCAGCTCAATGGGACCGAGTCGCTCTACCTCCTCCGGGGACCAGACCTGTGAGTGCGAGGTCTGCGTCGCCTCGCGTGGCACAGAAATTGGAGATGTTCAAGGAGGAGATGTTGAGAGAGGATGGCGGGGCTTGCGTTCAGGCCTGCGAGATACGCAACTACGTGGACCCACATTTCCGCGAGAAGAAGGACATGTTACAGCTGGCCCGACGGATGGCTTAGGCGGGGATGTTGTGCCGCGCCGCAGTGAAGGTGGACGAGGTCGGGCTCTTCTGCGCCGTGAAGAAGGCGGAGCTGGTGGGGAGCGAGCCCGGGGTGACCCGGAGGCTGGTGTTCGACCAGAGGCGCTCCAACATGCGATGGCGGTCTCCCCCGTGGTGTGCCATGGGCGGCGCCAGTGCGATGTCGTTTCTGGACGTGTCCGAGGAGATGAAGGAGGATGGCGTGACCATGTGCTTCGGCACGGGCGACCTCCCCGACTTCTACTTCACGCTGGAGCTGCGGGAGGAGCTGGCGCCGTACTTCGTGCTGCCCGGCGTGTCTGGGGATGCGGTGGACGCTCTGCTTCCCGAAGGTTCGTCTCTGCCTGGGAGTGGGCCCTACGTCGGGGTGAAGGTTGCGCTGATGGGCTTCTCCTGGGCGTGCTGGATGGCGCAGACGACCATGGAGGACATCTTCAAAACTGGGCCCCAGTTCGGGCTTTCTTCGCTTTCAGGCGACCAACGTTTGGCCGAAGGCGGGCCGTAACCCCATCTCAGTCGGGATCTGCCTGCTGCGCACTACGAGTACATCGACGATTTCGGCATCATGGGCCTGGACTTCCCGACGCGACCTGGCCAGGAGGCGGCGACGACGGTGGAGGAGATCTGGCTCGGTGCCAAGGAGTTGGTGGTGTCCGCGGGTTTCAAGGTGCACAAGGATACTTGTGCGGCGGACGCCCGTATGATCGGTGGCGATCTTCGGGGAACTCGCCTGGCGCCGAACCAGGACAAGATGTGGTTGACGGTCTTCGGCATACGGGAGATCCTGATCCACAAGTGGGAACTACCCGATACCGTCGCACGGATCGTCGGCATCCTGTTCTGGGGCTTCCTGATCTGCCGCGGTGCGTTGAGCGTCTTCGCGGACGTGCACGCATGATGCATGGAGTTCCGAGGTGGAGCTCGGCGCGAGGTGCCACGGGAAGTGCTGAGGGAGTTGGCTGCGGCTGCGGCTTTGGCGCCTCTGATCTCGGTGGACCTCTCGACGCCCTGGGACCCGATGGCGATGATGTTCGACGCGGGCCTCTACGGTGGCGCGCTCATCTCTACGGTGGCAACGGTGGAGGAGCAGCGTCGAGAAGCACGATATGCAGTTCGAGGAGGCTGGACCGTCTGGGCGGGCATTTCCTCGCCCTGGGCTGCGGGCGCCTGGTGCGAGGGGGGGGCCTTCAGACGCGTAGGTACCGACGTGGAGTTGGGCACCCGGATCCGCGTTCCACCTGTGCACGAGCGTTGGGGCGACATCGCTCGGTGGAAGGAGGTTGCGCGCTGGCGCTGGGAGGAAAAGGAGCACATCAACTTGCTGGAGATGCGCACGGGGGCGGCCGCGGCGAGGCACTCGGCCCGCGCCCGGGCGAGCTGGGGGAAGAGGCACTTACGCATCACGGACTCGATGGTTTGCCTCGGCGGCTTCAGCAAGGGCAGATCGGCCAGGCGGCCCATTCTGATCTTGCGCAGGAGAGTGGCCGCCCTCGACCTAGGGCGCGGCATGCGGGAGTACTGGCGCTGGGTGCCGTCGGACCGCAACCGCAGCGACGGGCCGAGCCGAGGTTTCCCGATTGGGCCGGCACCGAGGGAGCGGAGGACGGACGAGCTGGTGTTGCCGGAGAAGGTGGCTTCGAGGATCGAGGCCCTGGCGGATTTGGCGGAGGTGGACCCCTTCCAGCCGCTCAGGATGGGCGTCTCGATCCCGGTGAAGGTGCTGCGCTTCGCCCACCTCTGCAGCGGCCACACGCGCATCGGGGACCTGGAGGACTGGCTGCTCAGGATCGCGGGGTCGCGAGGCTACCTGATGATCTGCACCAGCGTGGACATCGGCCCCGGGGCGGAGTTCGACCTGACGGACGAGGTCAACGTGCGGAGGCTGGAGCTGCTGGCGGAGGTGGAGACGGACGGGGGACACTCAGGCCCTTCATGCTCTACCTGGTCGCGGGTTCGCTTCCAGCCTGGAGGCCCCCCCCGCTACGCCTGCGAGATCAGCTGCGGGGTCGGCCGGGTCTTCGAGGGGACGACGCGAAGAAGGTGAAGCTTGGGAACGCGCAGTTGCTGAGCAGCTTGAGGATCCTGAAGGCTATCGGGCTCAAGGGAGGCTCGGTCTCCATCGAGCATCCTGCCGATCCGGGTTGTCCGCCGTTCCCATCGATCTTCGTGACCAAGGAGCTTGTGGACTGGGAGGCCCGGGTGGGTGCCTACCGAGTGACCTTCCCGCAGTGCATGCGGGGCTGCCCCGCGCTGAAGCTGACGACGCTCACGGGGACGGCCTTCGGGATGCAGCGGTTTGTTCGCCCCTGCGTGCGCGAGAACCACTCGGCGAGCCTCTGCGGCAAGGACGAGAGCGGTCGCTGTTGGACGAGGGTGGCCCAGGCGTGCCCGTCCGACTTCTGCAGGATGTTGGCGGAGTGCCACGTGGACGCAATGCTGACCACGCACGAGAGACGGGAGGCCGACCTGACCGAGAGGGCCGTGGAGCAATTGATTTCAGAGACCCTGGAGCGCAGGCGCCGGGACGCTACGTTGCTGGAATCATTACCTGCAGCTTTCCTTCGAGCCTCGGGTTGACTGGGGACGGAAGCCCATGTGCGATGGGGCGGCCCCCGCCCATGTCCGACGATGTTCGAGCGCAAGCGGTGCAAGATTATGTTGGCATGATGCAAGATCTACATGATTGGGCGCAGCAGTGGTTCGGCGACCTCACGCAGCGGGCCACCGACGGCACCGAGTGGCAGGAGTGGTGCGTGGCTTTCCTGACGGACGTGCTTCTCAGCGGCCCCAATCAGGCTTTGAGGCGCCTACTCGTCCCCGGGCTACCTCGCCACGCGATCACCGACATCATCAGAGATCTTTGCAGCAGCACCTGGAGGGCGACGCAAGATCAAAGGGATCGCTTTGTCGCGAGTTTTCGAGAAGCGACTCCGAGGGAGAGACAGCGGCTACAACAGGAACACTGGACGGAGCTGGAAGATCTTCGTGCGATGTTTCGGGTTCGACTTGGTGACCAGGCGCCTGACCATCGACGATCGCCTCGTCTCGGGGAGCCCGACGTGGATGATGAGCAGCCGTCGGCCGGGACCGCTTGCCGGTCCAGTTGCCCGCGGTGGTCCGTGCTCCTGGGTGCGCCCGCTGCTGCCCTTTCTATCGGACGCCGTCGGTGAAGAGAGGCTACGGCGCCACGCTCAGCACCGCAAGATGGGCAACACCCACCGCAGGAACGACGCGGAGGGCGCGCACCCACAGGGGGTGCCACGGCGGGAGAGAACCACCTATGGGCTGGCATTGCTGCCGTTCTCGGTCTCAACTAAGACGGCGCTGGGCTGCTACGTGCCCAACGTGCGCCGCTTCCTGAACTTCGCGCTGGAGGTGAACCTGCCGATGATGAGCCGAGAGGAGATCGACGACTCCGTTCTTTGCTACTTGGACCGCCTGGTCGAGGATGAGGAGGTGGGTCCGCATCGAGGAGATTTCGTTGTGCACGGGCTTGCCTACGTGTGGCCCGAGCTCTCGACGGGGCTGCCGAGGTCCAATCGAGCTCTTCGAGCTTGGCATCGACTTCACGTTGCGGGAGAAGGGGGGCCCCAGCCCCTCGAGCTCTGGGCCGTGCTGGACGAGGCCATGAGGCTGGCCGGGAGCGTGGAGGCCGCCGACGCCGCCGAGGTCGCCCTGGACGCCTACCTCAGGTCCGCGGAGCTGTTCGCCTTGCGGGCGGCCGACATCGTGGTCGACGTGGACGAGGCGGGCGAGCAGATAGTAGCTCTACGACTCGGGGTGACCGAGCGTGGTGAGAGGACCAAGACGGGCGTGAGGCAGGGCGTGCTGATCGACCGTCGGCATGTGAGCGACATGCTTGTGCGCAGGAAGTCCGAGCGAGACCCCTCGGACCGGGTCTTCAGCTGCTCGGTGGATGCCTACCGCCGGGCGCTGAGGCGAGCCTGCGACGACGTCGGTGTCGAGCACTTCCCGCCCCATGCTGCCAGGCACTCGGGGCCGAGCCACGACGCGGCGACGGGCTACAGGACGGCGTGGGCCATCCAGCGGCGCGGGCGGTGGGCTTCAGAGAAGAGCGTGCTTAGGTATATGAAGACGCACGCCCTGGTGGCCGCCCGCGCCGCGCTCCCGCCAGACATCCTGGAGCGCGGGAGCCGACTGATGCCCAAGAAGAGTGGTCGCCCTGAAAAGGCTCGTGAGTGATCCATTTCGTGTTGCGAATGATCTACGGAGTTTTTTGGAGCTCTGCCGAGGCTGTGAATGCGCGACGGCTGTGGGAGGCGCCCGAACCCTCCCACCCAGCCCAGGCGCCGCCGCAGCCAGGCGCTAATGCAAGCAATGCGGTGGTGTGGGACCTGATACGGGGTCTGCTTCCAATCTCTGTGATTTTTTGGGGGCGCAGACCCCGCCGTCACCTTCTGCCGCCGCTCTCGGCGGCATCATGTCCACGGTTCGGGCAGAAAATAAAGAGTTCAGTTTAGGTTGGCGCCACCTTCCGTCGCCCCCCGCTTGGGGAGAGACAGTGACTCGTGCCTCTAAATGTGTGTTGTTGCAAATAATGAAGTTTTCGGGCCGTGGTCCTCTCTCCTCCCCCCCCCCCTCCCCCGTCTGTTAAGTGGTCGGTGGGCGGGGAGGGCGGGGGCGGCGCAAAGTCAGGTGGCGCCGTTCTGACATAACACGTTATGTTTGTGTTCTCCGCTCAAGTTCTCCCTCCGTCCCTTCCCTTCTTTCGCTCCCCGTTCACTTACCTCGTCGCAGCTCTGAGGGGACCTGATGCGGGGTCTGCTTCCAATCTCTGTGATTTTGGGGGCGCAGACCCCGCCGTCACCTTCTGCCGCCGCTCTCGGCGGCATCATGTCCACGGTTCAGGCAGAAAATAGAGAGTTCAGTTTAGGCTGGCGCCACCTTCCGTCGCCTCCCGCTTGGAGAGAGACAGTGACCCGTGCCTCTAAATTGTTATTCGCCGTCGTCGTCGTGTCCTTGTCTGTCGGGCTGCAGCTCGCTGCGCGACGCCCAGAAACGCCTGCCTCCCGCTGCGCACAAGCTGGAGGAAAGGAGGCAGTCCCTGGCTCGGCAGGGGCTGCTGCTGGCGGACGGCGGGACACTGGCTGACAGCCTGGCGCGTGAGTTCAAGCAGGGCTTAGCTATGGAAAAGGAAGTGCAACAAAAACACTACGCTGCGCTCCCTCAGCGTTCGCCCCTCCTCCAAGAAACCGTTCTGTGAGGGCAAAGTGGGCTGGGCTCGGCAGCCTTCTTGGGTTCCCCCACGAAGACGTTCTGCGCGCTCGAGGACGCGCAGTGAGAGACGGCTGCGCGTCTCCAGCTCCGTGTCCGGAAGCCGGAGTGCGCCCGAGCCATCTCGCGGCGGCGACGCCCCACTTCTGCCTACGGCACGCCAGCGGCGCGGTCTGCGCGCAGCCGTTGGACGAGCTCGGCTACCACGGCGCCACCTGCCAGAACGGCAGCGGGGTGTTGTGCAGGCGCGGCAGACTGGCCCGACGGCTCGGCGGGGTGCTCCGGCGTTGGAGGCACGACGACCCGCTCTACAAGCAGCGCGTCCCGCATTGGGACACGCCGCGACCAGGCCGTGCCGGGAAGACGGAGCGTGCTGCGTTCGACCGTGAGTGCTAGGACGACGGCCGCCGCTGGCTCGACGTGTCCATGTGGCACCCAGCTGCGCGCACCGCGGCGGAGCAGCGGGTCGCGGCCCGCCGCGACGGCGAGGCGAGCCGGCGCGGGGGGCGATACAAGCGCGCCCAGTGCCCCGGAGAGCGCCTCATCCCAATCGTCCTCGAGGCGGGGGGGCGGCTCGGGGCCGAGGCGCGCTTCTGGCTTAGAGCAGAGGTGAGCTTCGCGCCTGACGGCGAGCAGGCCCGCCGAGGCGCTCGTGGGCGGCGAGCCACGGCGCTGGGGTCGGCAGCTGCGCGCAGCCTAGGACCTGCGCTGGCGCGCTGGAGGGCGACCCGCGTTTGCGCCGGCAGCTGTCGCGCTGGGCGCCGTTGAGCTGGCGTGGCGCCGCCGCGACCTGACGCGGGGCCGCTGAGCAGACCTGGTGGTGGCGGTGCCCTGGTCGGCGCGCGGCCTGCCGCTGCGCTGGCGGGGGCTGAAGGGCGGCGCGGGGCGGGCGCTGCGTTGTTTGTGCGTCGGCTCGGTGGCGAACCGGTCCCGCCCCCTTGGGATAGTCCCGTGGTGGGACTTCTCCCAGGGTGGGGCGCCAGCGGCAGCGCAACCTGCTTGCTGGCGCTGGCTTGCTTGTCTCCTTGCAGATGCTCCCTTTTGAACAGACTTTGCGCGCTGAGTCTGTCCGTCTGTCCGTCTGCCTGTCTGTCTGTCTGTCGGTTTGTCTGCCTGTCAGTCAGTCAGTCGGTCAGTCAGTCAGTCTGTCTGCCGGTTTGTCTGTCTGTCTCCTTCTCCCAGTTGTTATCATTTTGCCTTTTTTTGTATGTACATGTATACACGAACGTGTGTGTAACAAGGTCGATGCGCAGTGCTTCTACTGCAAGTGCAAGTGAACCGACCCTGTTACACCATGCCCCCCGTGGCCCCGAGAGGCCACCCAGGGGCGGGGGAGCGGCCGGCCAGACACTGTGATACTGCAGCATGCAAACGTGAATCAAATATAGCATGCAATGTCTTAAACGCATCTGTTGGCTTAGAACGAGTCGTGACGCCACGGGGCGGTTTTCCGCCCTGGGTTCAAATTCATTCATCCAGACCGGCCCGATTCAAGGAATGCGAGACCTTTCGATGGAATGCTCTCGGCGGGGCGCGGCCGACGTAGCGGCCCTGCTGTACTCACCGAAAATACTAGTGAGACTCAACTGGTGCGCTGGCAGTTCCTCCTTGTGAAATACCGGCTGGTGTTTCTTTGCTTTTGGGCTATTGGGTGCTCTGTCCTGGGAGGGGGGGGGCCAAGTTATCGTTCCCGATTTGTTTTACAACCATACCACTCCATGTACGACAATGTATGCAACCAGTCATGGTGTCGTTTTTTCTTGTCCCCGTCGTTTCCCACCCGTTTCTCATGTTTTTCATCACTCTCTTTCTCTGTTTCTTTGTTCTCCCCCTCTCTCCCCTGCTCGGTTTCATGGCTTCTCTTTCGCTTGCTTATCAGGTTTCGTTGTTGTCGTGTGTAGTTACCTGTTCTGGCTGTCAGTCAATATGTCAGTCTGCCTGGCTGTTTGTTAGTCTGTGTGTTTGCATTCGCTGCCTGTCTGTCTGTCTCCGTTATCTCCTTCTCCTTTTCTCTCGCACCATTATTTCCCAATATTTGTCCCTCTCTTTTTCCCAACCATCCTGTGGTGTTGGGTCCTCGTTTTGAAGAGACAGCGCCCCGCGTCTCCTCTCCTCTCCTCTCCTCTCCTCCTCCTCTCCCCCCTCCTCCCTCCTCCCATCGCCGTCATCATACTCATCGTCATCATCATCATCCTCATCTTCATCATCATCATCATCATCATCATCATCATCCTCGTCATCATCACCACCAGCATCATCATAGTCATCATCATCGCCATCGCCATTAGTTCCCAACCATCCTGTCATCATCACCACCAGCATCATCATCGTCATCACCACCAGCATCATCATCGTCAGCATCATCATCATCATCATCATCATCATCATCATCATCATCATCATCATCATCATCATCATCATCGCCATCGCCATTAGTTCCCATTTCCGCACACCCCTCACACGTTTCGTGGCCCCATAGGGAGCTCCACCGAAGGCCCCAGTGGCAGGGTTCGCATGCCGCCCCCACCCCACTTTGGCACACCCCTCACACGTTTCGTGGCCCCATAGGTAGCTCCACCGAAGGCCCCAGTGGCAGGGTTCGCATGCCGCCCCCACCCCACTTTGGCACACCCCTCACACGTTTCGTGGCCCCATAGGTAGCTCCACCGAAGGCCCCAGTGGCAGGGTTCGCATGCCGCCCCCACCTCACTTTGGCACACCCCTCACACGTTTCGTGGCCCCACAGGGAGCTCCACCGACGGCCCCAGTGGCAGGGTTCGCATGCCGCCCCCACCCCACTTTGGCACACCCCTCACGCATTTCGTGGCCCCATAGGTAGCTCCACCGAAGGCCCCAGTGGCAGGGTTCGCATGCCGCCCCCACCTCACTTTGGCACACCCCTCACGCGTTTCGTGGCCCCATAGGTAGCTCCACCGAAGGCCCCAGTGGCAGGGTTCGCATGCCGTCCCCGCCCCACTTTGGCACACCCCTCACACGTTTCGTGGCCTCATAGGGAGCTCCACCGAAGGCCCCAGTGGCAGGGTTCGCATGCCGCCCCCATCTCACTTTGGCACACCCCTCACACGTTTCGTGGCCCCATAGGGAGCTCCACCGACGGCCCCAGTGGCAGGGTTCGCATGCCGCCCCCACCCCACTTTGGCACACCCCTCACGCATTTCGTGGCCCCATAGGGTGCTCTACCGAAGGCCCCCGTGGCAGGGTTCGCATGCCGCCCCCACCCACTTTTGCACACCCCTCACACGTTTCGTGGCCCCATTGGGAGTTCCACCGACGGCCCCAGTGGCAGGGTTGGCATGCCGCCCCTCGCCCATTTCGGCCCACCCCTCACACGTTTCGTGGCCCCATAGGGAGCTCCACCGAAGGGGCCCCAGTGGTTGCGTTCGCATGCGTCCCCACCGCCCATTTCGGCACACCCCTCATACGTTTCGTGGCCCCATAGGGAGCTCCACCGAAGGCCCCAGTGGCTCCCCACCACCCATTTCGGCCCACCCCTCACACGTTTCGTGGCCCCATAGGGAGCTCCACCGAAGGCCCCAGTGGCTGCGTTCGCATGCCTCCCCACCACCCATTTCGGCACACCCCTCACACGCTTCGTGGCCCCATAGGGAGCTCCACCGAAGGCCCCAGTGGCAGGGCCCGCATGCCTCCCCACCACCCATTTCGGCACACACTTCACACGTTTCGTGGCCCCATAGGGAGCTCCACCGAAGGCCCCAGTGGCGCGGTGCCTATGAGAAGAGGGGCCTAGTTTGCGTGCCCCCTCCTTCGTCTCATATCCGTGCGGTACTCGCAGCTGCATATGGTTGGGTCCTTCGCCAGGCTAATTTTTCGCATTGGTTTGTTCCTGTCTACAGCGCAGCATGTCGTCGATTTTCTTCGGTCTGTTCCTGTCAGGTCCCGCAGGCGGCGGGCGGCGCCAGTGGCCTCTCCAGCTATGGCGCTACGCCTCTTGGTTCGAGTCGCATGAGCCTCACGCCCAGGTGGCTCTGTCCCCAGCTGACGGTGCCCATTGGGACAGAGCTGCACTGCGTGCTGCCCAACCTGGTATCCGGCGCGAAGCAGAACCTGGTGGTGCACGTGTGCAGCATCGCAGAGCGCGGCTCGAAGCCACTCTTCCAGGCCGTGCGTGTCTTCCTTGCTGTTCTGCTGCTGCTGCTACATGCATGGTGTTTCGCCTGTTGCTAATGCTGCTGTGCTCCTAGCAGGGGACGGACCGTGTGGAAGAATCGAATCGACGCGGGCTTCCGTGGACAGTTCCATGCCTGGCAATCTCTGGAAATGTGGGTGATTATGCACATGTTCTACCCCTGCAGCTCACAGTCCATGCTTTCACATATCGGATCCAGTTGCGTTGTCCCGCATTCCGCCAACGCACGGGGGTGGGGGCTTGGGCTGAGGCTGGAGGAGGCAAGGGAACGTGGTGCGAACAATGAAGACTCATACAGACGCTTCATGGCAACATCGGGCGGCGCTGGGGCTGAGAGCAGGCCTATTGTCCCCAGGGCAATCGTATTTGCCGAGTCGGTCTGGCTGGATCGGCGAGCCGTGGCGCAGCGCAGCGGCTGGTGTGGTCGATGAGAGCACGGAGGATGTTGCCGGTCTGCGCTGCTCTACCGCGGGTGGTCACCGCGGTACCCCTGGGGCCCTGGGTGAGGCATGCGCCAGGCAGTCGACAGTCTCACATTTCATCCGCGATGTATGTTGAAATTTGTGTTTTAGCCAGGTAGCTTGCACAGCACATCTGGTATCATATAGGGCACACAGAGTGAGTAGATCGTTTCGTAATTGGCTCATGCTGTATCCATTTGCTTTCGACAAGTCCCGCCCCCGTGCCAGCCCAGCATTCTGGATGGCGACTGGTCGAGGGGGCATGGGAGGCCGTCACGTGCATCACCCCGTTGATCGATGATGATCGGTGATGACGATGATGATGATGATGATGATGATGATGATGATGATGATGATGATGATGATGATGATGATGAAGACGAAGATGAAAATGATGGTTATGATGATGGTGTTGATGATGATGATGCTGAGGACGGGATGAATGATATTGATGTTGATTATGTTGATGATGATGCTGATGATGCTGATGATGATGACGATGGCAATGCTGATGATGATAGTGATGATGATGCTGATGATGATGACGATGAGGTTGATAATGATGCTGCTGATAGTGCTGATGTTGCTGGTGAGTGAATTGTTGATCGTGTTGATGCTTATGCTGATGCTGCTGCTACCGCTGCTGCTGATGATGATGGTTGTGGTGATGGTGATGATGATGACGATGCTGCTGATGAAGATGGTGGTGATGATTATGATGATTGCTGTTGGTGGTGATGCTGCTGTTGCTGCTGCTGATGCTGCTGCTGATGATGGTGAGGATGATGCTGCTGCTGCCGATGATGATGCTCATGATGGTGATGATGCTGATGCTGATGACGGTGGTGGTGGTTGTGATGATGGTGATGCTGGTGTTGCTGTTGATGGTGATGATGATGGTGTTGGTGGTGATGATGACGATGATGGTGATGATGATGGTGACGATGACGATGATGGTGATGATGTTGTCGATTATGATAATGATGATTGTGATGATGGTGCTGATTCTGCTGATTACGATGATGATGATGATGATGTTGTTGATGATGATGCTGATGATGATGTTGTTGATGATGCTGATGATGCTGATGCTGCTGATGCTGCTGATGATGCTGATGCTGATGCTGATGCTGATGCTGATGCTGATGCTGATGCTGATGCTGCTGATGACGATGATGATGAAACTCGTTTGGGCCTTCTTGGGGCTGTCTTGGCCTCCTGTGAGGCAGTCTTGGGGGTCCCTTGGGGCCGTCTTGGGGCCCTCTTGCGCCGGCTTGGAGTTCTCTTGGGTTGTCTTGGGGCCTTTTTGGCAGTATGGTGGATCTGGGGGCCGTCGTGGGGCCGTCTTGGTGCCGTCTTGGGCAGTTGAAGGGCCTTCTAAGGCCGTTTTGAGTCCCACGGAAGGTCCGAGAGAGCGCGCCCGTGGTACACTCCCAAAGGGGGGGGTCCCTTCAGCCACCCCCCTCCCTGGGACCCCCCCTGCTGGAAGCCCCCCCCCCCTCCTTTTTGTTCCCGCCCCTCGAAAGCTACCCCCCCCCTCTCGTGTTCCAGAAGTTACCTCCCCTCCCTTTCCACAGGGGGGGGGCTCAGCCACCCCTTCCGTTTGAACCTTTTTCTGCCCCTCGGAAGCCCCCCCCCCCTTCGCGCTCCTGGAGCTACACCCCCGCTCCCCCCATTTCCAAAGGGGGGGGGGGCTTAGCCCCCCCCCCCCTTGAACCTGCCTTGCCGGAAGCCCCTCCCCCCTCCAACCCTTTTTGGCCAAAGGGTGGAGGGGGCTTGGAAGCCTCCCCTTTGGCGAAAGGAATAATGAACGCCCAGGACTAAAAAGGGCGTCGAAAACCAACAGAGCGCCGAACATCAAAGGACCACCGAAAACGGAAAGGGTGCAAAACCAGAGGCGTCGAAAGCCGAAGGAACGTCGAAAACCGAAAGGGCGCTGAAAGTCGAAATTGCGCCGAGAATCAAAAGGGCGCATACAACCAATAGTGGCGCCGAACATCAAAGGAGCGCCGAAAACCACAGGGGCGCCGAAAGCCAAAAGGTCGCCGACAACCAAAAGGGAGCCGAAAAGCAAAGAAGGGCCGAAAACCAAAAGAGCGCTGAAAAGCAAAGAAGTGCCGATAATCAAAACGCGCCGAAAACCAAAAGAACGCTCCACACCAAAGAGGTTCCGAACACCACAAAAGGCTTCGAAAACCAGCGGGGCGCCAAATACCAAAGATGCGCCGAAAAACCAGAAGGCCCTGAAAACCAGAGCAGCGCTGAAAACGACAAGGGCGCCGAAAACCAAACAGCGCCGAAACCCAGAAGGTCGCCGAGCACGAAAAGGACGCCAAAAAACCACGGGGTCGCCGAACATGAAAAGGGCGCTGACAACCAAAGGGTCGCCAAACACCAAAAGATCACCAAAACCAAAACGGTGCCGAACACCAAAGGGGTGTCGGACACCACAAGGGCACCGACAACCAGAACGGCGCCGAAAACCAAACGAACGCTGAAAAGCAAAACGGCGCCGAAAATCACAAGGGCGCCGAGAACCAAAGAAGCGCCAAGAACCGAAAGGGCGCCGACAATTAAAGGGGCGCCGAAAACCGAGGAAGCGCAGAAAGCTCGATGGAGGACGAAAACCAAAACAGCGCCGAACACAAGAAGGGACGCCGAAAACCACAGGGCGCCAAAAACAGAAAGGACACCGAAAACCAAAGAGGCGACGAACACCAAGAGGGCGTGGCAAACCAAAGAAGCGCTGAGCGCCGAAATCCAATGGGGCGCCGAAAAGCAAAGGTGCACGGAAAACCAAGGAAGCGACGAACGCCAAAGTGGTGCCGATAGCCAACATGGCGCCGAAAACGGGAGGGGCGCCGAAAACAACAGAAGTTCCGGAGACAGGGCTTCGAAAACCAGCGGGGCGCCGAAAACCAAGGGGGCGCCGAAAACGAAAGGGGCGCCGAAAACCAAAGGGGCGCTGAAAACCAACGAAGCGCCCAAATCCAAAGGGGCGCCGAAAACAAACGATGCATAGAACACAGCAAGGGCGCCGAAAACCATAGGAACGCCCCAAGTCAAAGAGGCGCCGAACACCACAAAGAGGCGCCGAAAACCACAACAGGATCCGAAACCAGCGGGGCGCCGAAAACCAAATGGCGCTAAAACCCAAAAGAACGCCGAAAACAAAATGGGCGCCGAAAACCAAAAGGACGCCGAAAACCAAGAGGGCGCCGAAAACCAAAGGGGCTCCGGAACCTAAGAGGGCGCCCAAATCGAACGATGCGCCGAAAACAGAAGGGTGCGCAGAAAACAAAAAAAGTGGCGCCGAAAACCAATGGAGCGCCGAAAGCCAAAGGAGCGCCGAAAACCAAATGAGCGCCGAAATTCAAAGGGGCGCCGAAAACCAAAGGGGCGCCAAAGGCCGACGGGGCGCCGAAAACCAAAGAGGCGCCGAAAACCAAAGAGACGCCGAAAACCACAAGTACACGAAAACAAACGTGGCGCCGGAGACCAAATCAGAAAAGTAGCTTCGAAACCCTCCCTTTAGCCAGGGCCCTCCAGCTGGAAAAGCCAACAGAAGGAGGGGAGGGGGGGGATAGCTTCGGACCCCCCCCCCCTTTCGAAAGGGGAGCTCTGGCTTACGCCGGGCCCCGAAAAGGAGGGGACCGGGGGGGTAGCTTCCAAGCCACCCCCCGTTTAGCCAGGGACCCCCCGGCTACCAAATCCAAACAAAAGGAGGGGGGGTAGCTTTGGAAGCCCCCCCTCCCTTTGAAAGGGGGGCCGAGGCCGACCTTGGGCGCCAGAAAAGGAGGGGGGAAGATAGCTTGGAAGCCCTCCCTCTCCTTTTCGCTAGGGCCCCCCTAGCTCTGAGATTCCAGCAGAAGGAAGGGAGGGGGGGTAGCTTCGGAAGGCCCCCCCCTTTTCCACGGGAGGGGGGGGTGGGGTAGCTTCAAGCCGGGGTCCTCCTTTGTGTGAGAAGTGTGCCACGAGCGCGCTCTTTTCAGATCCTCTTGGGCAGCTTTGGGGCCGTCTTGGATGCCTCTTGGCCCATCGTGGAGTCCTCTTGGCCCGTCTTGCGCCGACGGCAGCCCCGAAAGTCGAGAAGACGGAAATCATTCAAACATCAAGTGGGCATCAATAACTGTGGTTTCTTCGGACCCTGTCGGGGGACCTTTTTGTAGCCATGTTGGGATCTCTTGGCGGCATCTTGGGTTGTCTTGAAGTTACACTCGGCCGCCTCAGGGCCATCGTGGGCCGTCTTTGGGGAATCTAGGGCCATCTTGGTGTCCCTGGTTGCCTGCACGGACCGTCTTGTAAGCTCAGGGCGCATATCCATTGTCGAAAGCGACGTATCGCGGCTTGGGCGGCCTTGGAGCGCTGCAGCAACGCCTGGGACTGCGGGACTTGCACGATCCTCTAGCGGGTGCGCGTGGGATGAGGGGTCTAGGAGGTGGGAGCCATGCGGGAAGTGCGCAATCCTCGAGCGGGCGCGCATGGAATGGGGGTTACTGCGTTAGTTGCCG